CCGAGGACTCGCCGTCCTCTTCGCACCTCTTACCTGAAAACCAACATTGCAGTTCTGACCTGAAACGCTGAAATGAAGGCGCCTAGCTGTGTCCCAGATAAGAGAGGTGGAAAGAAGTACCTTCTACGTACTCTCCTCTGAGGAATAGCAACTAATATATTGAATGGGTGAAAAAAAAACTCGTTTATATATTTCAATTTCACTTTTATACAGTTTTCTCAATTCGCCGAATGTCTTTCCCTTTGCCTGCAAACCATTGCCGTGCCAGCCAACGTTACTAGATACTTTTTTCAGTTTGCAAACTGCGGCGCCGCGAGTGTCCCCCTTCCCTGTACCGGTCAAAAAGCCGCAAGCGCGCCCCCTCTCGGCGGTGCCCGGACCCACGCCGGCGGAGTTACTGCAGTTATGTTCTTATGCCGGGTGCTGCTTTGTTGCTTTCAAGTGTGCTTCGTAGTCATCGCTGTCACTGAGTCCCAGCAAGATTTATTTCGACGTAACTCGCGTAGTGTGTGCTCTGGCTGCAACTTACTACGGTAGCGATCAACGTGGTGCCCGGCGTGGCACCGACGCTGTCAGCGTTGGCGTGATCTGCATGGTGCCGGGTGTTTTTTTAATGTCTTCAACTCAGTGATCGCTTTCCCTGTGAGCTAAACAGCTCACATGTGTCATGTGACGGTTCTTGAATGTGAGAAAACATGCCTCGCTGCTTTGTTACTGGTTGCCGAAGTGGGTACGATTCGACGAAATCCGCGGCCGAAAAGAGACATTTTTTCAAGCCTCCCGCTGACGAGGTGCGCCTTCAACTGTGGCGACGGGCTATACCGAGATCGGATAAGGAACTGACAAGCTCTTGCACTGTTTGTGACCTTCACTTCCGAGAGGAAGATATTGCGAAGGACTACGTGCACCACGTTCATGGTGACTCAGTTCTCATTCCGCGTGGTAAGTGGGCTCTTAATGAAGATGCTGTGCGGCGCATTTTTTTGGGCTTTACACTTTAACATATCCGGCGTCATTAGATGGCTGTAGTGCGTGGCTCATCGTACAATAATATCGAAAGTTCTACGGGCCAAAACCACGATATGATTATGAGGCACGTCGTAGTGAAGAACTTTGGAAATTTTAACCACCTGGGGTTTCTCTAACGTGCACCTGAATCGAAGTGCATAGCCCTCTAGCATTTAGACTTAATGCTGTGGCCCACTGTCAATGTTTGTTTTTTTTTTACATAGGCAATCGAATGTTAAAGAACAGGAACGCAAAAGAGCTGCATGAACAAAAGTCCCGCAAGATTCGGGCATCGCGCTCACGTCTCTGCCGTGTGGCATCGCCTTAGCGGCTCAACTGGTGATTTACTTGCACACTCGTAATAACCTTCGCTCACCCTCTCGGGAAATAACTCCCATTACACAAAATTAACCGCGTAAATTCCGTTTAACATTGCGCGAAGGCTCCGTTACGATGCGGCGACCGGTCAAATGGCGTCGGAAGCGCCACCTAGACAGCGGGAAATGAAGGGGGCCGCGTTTCGCCGCCGCATCCCGGCGGAATTTGCAAACTGAGGTAATCTAGTAACGTTGGTGCCAGCTTGAAGCAACTCGGTGAGCCGTGATTATGAGCTAGTGAACGCAAGAAGCGCAACCTCCCATGTTCATTTCAGGAATGAGAGCCCGAGCAGCGTTTAGAATGTCATTACTCAACCAATGCGTCGCCACACTCGCCGATGTTGGTCGTCACTGAGCTGTTCATAGCCCACATTCGTCATAATACCAACACTATATAGACCGGTTGGTATATTACGTGAACAGGGACGAATGGGTCCGATTGCGTGCGGGGGGGGGGGGGGGGGAGTGCGGGACAACTTCGGGGCAGAACAAGACTCACAAATGATTCGCCACAATTCCGCAAATTATGAAGAAATCTTGTAGACCAAACACTCAAGTGCTCGTCTGGTGGGCTCGGTAGCTGTGCGAACGCGCAGCCTAATTCGTTTGCCTTCATCATGCAGGTACTCACCAGGCCTTCAAAGTTGTTTCTTCTGTTTCTCATGCCTGGCTTCATCGGACCGTCAATAATTCCCGCCCCCTTCCACAACGGCACTTCAAACTTAAATCCCGCTACTATCACACCGGATCCAGCAACAGCACCGCCACTGCTAACCTTGACCCTCGATCACACGTGGACTACCATCAAGACAGACATCATCTGCAGCCACGACTACAAAACAACCGCCTCTGTCTGCGCCGAATTGTGGGCTTGGTAGCTGTGCGAACGCGCAGCCTAATCCATTTGCCTTCATCATGCAGGTACTCACCAGGGCTTCAAAGTTGTTCCTGCTGTTTCTCATGCCTGGCTTCATCGGACTGTCAACAATTCGCGCCCCCTTCCACAACGGCACTTCAAACTTAAATCCCGCTACTATCACACCGGATCCAGCAACAGCACCACCACTGCTAACCTTGACCCTCGATCACACGTGGACTACCCCATCAAGACCGACATCATCTGCAGCCACGACTACAAAACAACCACCTCTGTCCGCGCCGCATTGTGGGCTCGGTAGCTATGCGAACGCGCAGCTTAATCCATTTGCCTTCGTCATGCAGGTACTCACCAGGCCTTCAAAGTTCTTCCTGCTGTTTCTCATGCCTGGCTTCATCGGACCATCAACAATTCCCGCCCCCTTCCACAACGGCACTTCAAACTTAAATCCCGCTACTATCACACCGGATCCAGCAACAGCACCGCCACTGCTAACCTTGACCTTCGATCACACGTGGACTACCCCATCAAGACAGACATCATCTGCAGCCACGACTACAAAACAACCACCTCTGTCCGCGCCGCATTGTGGGCTCGGTAGCTGTGCGAACGCGCAGCCTAATCCATTTGCCTTCGTCATGCAGGTACTCACCAGGCCTTCAAAGTTCTTCCTGCTGTTTCTCATGCCTGGCTTCATCGGACCGTCAATAATTCCCGCCCCCTTCCACAACGGCACTTCAAACTTAAATCCCGCTACTATCATACCGGATCCAGCAACAGCACTGCCACTGCTAACCTTGACCCTAGACCACACGTGGACTACCCCATCAAGACAGACATCATCTGCAGCCACGACTACCAAACAACCGCCTCTATCTGCGCCGCATTGTGGGCTTGGTAGCTGTGTGAACGCGCAGCCTAATCCATTTGCCTTCGTCATGCAGGTACTCAGCAGGGCTTCAAAGTTGTTCCTGCTGTTTCTCATGCCTGGCTTCATCGGACCGTCAACAATTCCCGCGCCCTTCCACAGCGGCACTTCAAACTTAAATCCCGCTACTATCACACCAGATCAAGCAACAGCACTGCCACTGCTAACCTTGACCCTCGATCACACGTGGACTACCCCATCAAGACAGACATCATCTGCAGCCACGACTACAAAACAACCGCCTCTTTCTGCGCCGCATTGTGGGCTTGGTAGCTGTGCGAACGCGCAGCCTAATTCATTTGCCTTCATCATGCAGGTACTCACCAGGGCTTCAAAGTTGTTCCTGCTGTTTCTCATGCCTGGCTTCATCGGACCGTCAACAATTCCCGCCCCCTTCCACAACGGCACTTCAAACTTAAATCCCGCTACTATCACACCGGATCCAGCAACAGCACCACCACTGCTAACCTTGACCCTCGATCACACGTGGACTACCCCATCAAGACCGACATCATCTGCAGCCACGACTACAAAACAACCACCTCTGTCCGCGCCGCATTGTGGGCTTGGTAGCTGTGCGAACGCGCAGCTTAATCCATTTGCCTTCGTCATGCAGGTACTCACCAGGCCTTCAAAGTTCTTCCTGATGTTTCTCATGCCTGGCTTCATCGGACCATCAACAATTCCCGCCCCCTTCCACAACGGCACTTCAAACTTAAATCCCGCTACTATCACACCGGATCCAGCAACAGCACCGCCACTGCTAACCTTGACCTTCGATCACACGTGGACTACACCATCAAGACAGACATCATCTGCAGCCACGACTACAAAACAACCGCCTCTGTCTGCGCCGCATTGTGGGCTTGGTAGCTGTGCGAACGCGCAGCCTAATCCATTTGCCTTCATCATGCAGGTACTCACCAGGGCTTCAAAGTTGTTCCTGTTATTTCTCATGCCTGGCTTCATCGGACCGTCAACAATTCCCGCCCCCTTCCACAACGGCACTTCAAACTTAAATCCCGCTACTATCACACCGGATCCAGCAACAGCGCCGCCACTGCTAACCTTGACCCTCAACCACACGTGGACTACCCCATCAAGACCGACATCATCTGCAGCCACGACTACAAAACAACCACCTCTGTCCGCGCCGCATTGTGGGCTCGGTAGCTGTGCGAATGCGCAGCCTTATCCATTTGCCTTCGTTATGCAGGTACTCACCAGGCCTTCAAAGTTCTTCCTGCTGTTTCTCATGCCTGGCTTCATCGGACCGTCAATAATTCCCGCCCCCTTCCACAACGGCACTTCAAACTTAAATCCCGCTACTATTATACCGGATCCAGCAACAGCACTGCCACTGCTAACCTTGACCCTAGACCACACGTGGACTACCCCATCAAGACAGACATCATCTGCAGCCACGACTACCAAACAACCGCCTCTGTCTGCGCCGCATTGTGGGCTTGGTAGCTGTGTGAACGCGCAGCCTAATCCATTTGCCTTCGTCATGCAGGTACTCACCAGGGCTTCAAAGTTGTTCCTGCTGTTTCTCATGCCTGGCTTCATCGGACCGTCAACAATTCCCGCGCCCTTCCACAGCGGCACTTCAAACTTAAATCCCGCTACTATCACACCAGATCCAGCAACAGCACCGGCACTGCTAACCTTGACCCTCGACCACACGTGGACTACCCCATCAAGACAGACATCATCTGCAGCCACGACTACAAAACAACCACCCCTGTCCGCGCCGCATTGTGGGCTCGGTAGCTGTGCGAACGCGCAGCCTAATCCGTTTGCCGTCGTCATGCAGGTACTCAGCAGGCCTTCAAAGTTGTTCCTGCTGTTTCTCATGCCTGGCTTCATCGGACCGTCAACAATTCCCGCCCCCTTCCACAACGGCACTTCAAACTTAAATGCCGCTACTATCACACCGGATCCAGCAACAGCACCACCACTGCTAACCTTGACCCTCGATCACACGTGGACTACCCCATCAAGACCGACATCATCTGAAGCCACGACTACAAAACAACCACCTCTGTCCGCGCCGCATTGTGCGCTCGGTAGCTGTGCGAACGCGCAGCTTAATCCATTTGCCTTCGTCATGCAGGTACTCACCAGGCCTTCAAAGTTCTTCCTGCTGTTTCTCATGCCTGGCTTCATCGGACCATCAACAATTCCCGCCCCCTTCCACAACGGCACTTCAAACTTAAATCCCGCTACTATCACACCGGATCCAGCAACAGCACCGCCACTGCTAACCTTGACCTTCGATCACACGTGGACTACCCCATCAAGACAGACATCATCTGCAGCCACGACTACAAAACAACCGCCTCTGTCTGCGCCGCATTGTGGGCTTGGTAGCTGTGCGAACGCGCAGCCTAATCCATTTGCCTTCATCATGCAGGTACTCACCAGGGCTTCAAAGTTGTTCCTGTTATTTCTCATGCCTGGCTTCATCGAACCGTCAACAATTCCCGCCCCCTTCCACAACGGCACTTCAAACTTAAATCCCGCTACTATCACACCGGATCCAGCAACAGCGCCGCCACTGCTAACCTTGACCCTCGACCACACGTGGACTACCCCATCAAGACCGACATCATCTGCAGCCACGACTACAAAACAACCACCTCTGTCCGCGCCGCATTGTGGGCTCGGTAGCTGTGCGAACGCGCAGCCTAATCCATTTGCCTTCGTCATGCAGGTACTCACCAGGCCTTCAAAGTTCTTCCTGCTGTTTCTCATGCCTGGCTTCATCGGACCGTCAACAATTCTCGTCCCCTTCAACAACGGCACTTCAAACTTGAATCCCGCTACTATCACACCGGATCCAGCAACAGCACCGCCACTGCTAACCTTGACCCTCGATCACACGTGGACTACCCCATCAAGACAGACATCATCTGCAGCCACGACTACAAAACAAACGCCCCTGTCCACGCCGCATTGTGGGCTCGGTAGTTGTGCGAACGCGCAGCCTAATCCGTTTGCCTTCGTCATGCAGGTACTCAGCAGGCCTTCAAAGTTGTTCCTGCTGTTTCTCATGCCTGGCTTCATCGGACCGTCAATAATTCCCGCCCCCTTCCACAACGGCACTTCAAACTTAAATCCCGCTACTATCATACCGGATCCAGCAACAGCACTGCCACTGCTAACCTTGACCCTAGACCACACGTGGACTACCCCATCAAGACAGACATCATCTGCAGCCACGACTACCAAACAACCGCCTCTGTCTGCGCCGCATTGTGGGCTTGGTAGCTGTGTGAACGCGCAGCCTAATCCATTTGCCTTCGTCATGCAGGTACTCACCAGGGCTTCAAAGTTGTTCCTGCTGTTTCTCATGCCTGGCTTCATCGGACCGTCAACAATTCCCGCGCCCTTCCACAGCGGCACTTCAAACTTAAATCCCGCTACTATCACACCAGATCCAGCAACAGCACCGGCACTGCTAACCTTGACCCTCGACCACACGTGGACTACCCCATCAAGACAGACATCATCTGCAGCCACGACTACAAAACAACCGCCCCTGTCCGCGCCGCATTGTGGGCTCGGTAGCTGTGCGAACGCGCAGCCTAATCCGTTTGCCTTAGTCATGCAGGTACTCACCAGGCCTTCAAAGTTGTTCCTGCTGTTTCTCATGCCTGGCTTCATCGGACCGTCAACAATTCTCGTCCCCTTCAACAACGGCACTTCAAACTTGAATCCCGCTACTATCACACCGGATCCAGCAACAGCACCGCCACTGCTAACCTTGACCCTCGATCACACGTGGACTACCCCATCAAGACAGACATCATCTGCAGCCACGACTACAAAACAAACGCCCCTGTCCACGCCGCATTGTGGGCTCGGTAGTTGTGCGAACGCGCAGCCTAATCCGTTTGCCTTAGTCATGCAGGTACTCATCAGGCCTTCAAAGTTGTTCCTGCTGTTTCTCATGTCTGGCTTCATCGGACCGTCAATAATTCCCGCCCCCTTCCACAACGGCACTTCAAACTTAAATCCCGCTACTATCACACCGGATCCAGCAACAGCACCGCCACTGCTAACCTTGACCCTCGATCACACGTGGACTACCCCATCAAGACAGACATCATCTGCAGTCACGACTACAAAACAAACGCCCCTGTCCGCGCCGCATTGTGGGCTCGGTAGCTGTGCGAACGCGCAGCCTAATCCGTTTGCCTTAGTCATGCAGGTACTCACCAGGCCTTCAAAGTTCCTTCTGTTTCTCATGCCTGGCTTCATCGGATCGTAAACAATTCCCGCCCCCTTCAACAACGGCACTTCAAACTTAAATCCCACTACTATCACACCGGATCCAGCAACAGCACCGCCACTGCTAACCTTGACCCTCGATCACACGTGGACTACCCCATCAAGACAGACATCATCTGCAGCCACGACTACAAAACAAACGCCCCTGTCCGCGCCGGATTGTGGGCTCGGTAGTTGTGCGAACGCGCAGCCTAATCCGTTTGCCTTAGTCATGCAGGTACTCACCAGGCCTTCAAAGTTGTTCCTTCTGTTTCTCATGCCTGGCTTCATCGGACCGTCAACAATTTCCGCCCCCTTCAACAACGGCACTTCAAACTTAAATCCCACTACTATCACACCGGATCCAGCAACAGCACCGCCACTGCTAACCTTGACCCTCGATCACACGTGGACTACCCCATCAAGACAGACATCATCTGCAGCCACGACTACAAAACAAACGCCCCTGTCCGCGCCGCATTGTGGGCTCGGTGGTTGTGCGAACGCGCAGCCTAATCCGTTTGCCTTAGTCATGCAGGTACTCACCAGGCCTTCAAAGTTGTTCCTTCTGTTTCTCATGCCTGGCTTCATCGGACCGTCAACGATTCCCGCCCCCTTCAACAACGGCACTTCAAACTTAAATCCCGCTACTATCGTACCGGATCCAGCAACAGCACCGCCACTGCTAACCTTGACCCTCGATCACACATCATCAAGACAGACATCATCTGCAGCCACGACTACAAAACAAACGCCCCTGTCCGTGCCGCATTGTGGGCTCGGTAGCTTTTCGAACGCGCAGCCTAATCCGTTTGCCTTAGTCATGCAGGTACTCACCAGGCCTTCAAAGTTGTTCCTTCTGTTTCTCATGCCTGGCTTCATCGGATCGTAAACAATTTCGCCCCCTTCAACAATGGCACTTCAAACTTAAATCCCACTACTATCACACCGGATCCAGCAACAGCACCGCCACTGCTAACCTTGACCCTCGATCACACGTGGACTACCCCATCAAGACAGACATCATCTGCAGCCACGACTACAAAACAAACGCCCCTGTCCGCGCCGCATTGTGGGCTCGGTAGTTGTGCGAACGCGCAGCCTAATCCGTTTGCCTTAGTCATGCAGGTACTCACCAGGCCTTCAAAGTTGTTCCTTCTGTTTCTCATGCCTGGCTTCATCGGACCGTCAACAATTCCCGCCCCCTTCAACAACGGCACTTCAAACTTAAATCCCGCTACTGTCATGTCGGATCCAGCAACAGCACCGCCACTGCTAACCTTGACCCTCGATCACACATCATCAAGACAGACATCATCTGCAGCCACGACTACAAAACAAACGCCCCTGTCCGTGCCGCATTGTGGGCTCGGTAGCTGTGCGAACGCGCAGCCTAATCCGTTTGCCTTAGTCATGCAGGTACTCACCAGGCCTTCAAAGTTGTTCTTTCTGTTTCTCATGCCTGGCTTCATCGGATCGTAAACAATTCCCGCCCCCTTCAACAACGGCACTTCAAACTTAAATCCCACTACTATCACACCGGATCCAGCAACAGCACCGCCACTGCTAACCTTGACCCTCGATCACACGTAGACTACCCCATCAAGACAGACATCATCTGCAGCCACGACTACAAAACAAACGCCCCTGTCCACACCGCATTGTGGGCTCGGTAGCTGTGCGAACGCGCAGCCTAATCCGTTTGCCTTAGTCATGCAGGTACTCACCAGGCCTTCAAAGTTCCTTCTGTTTCTCATGCCTGGCTTCATCGGATCGTAAACAATTCCCGCCCCCTTCAACAACGGCACTTCAATCTTAAATCCCACTACTACCACACCGGATCCAGCAACAGCACCGCCACTGCTAACCTTGACCCTCGATCACACGTGGACTACCCCATCAAGACAGACATCATCTGCAGCCACGACTACAAAACAAACGCCCCTGTCCGCGCCGCATTGTGGGCTCGGTAGCTGTGCGAACGCGCAGCCTAATCCGTTTGCCTTAGTCATGCAGGTACTCACCAGGCCTTCAAAGTTGTTCCTTCTGTTTCTCATGACTGGCTTCATCGGATCGTAAACAATTCCCGCCCCCTTCAACAACGGCACTTCAAACTTAAATCCCACTACTATCACACCGGATCCAGCAACAGCACCGCCACTGCTAACCTTGACCCTCGATCACACGTGGACTACCCCATCAAGACAGACATCATCTGCAGCCACGACTACAAAACAAACGCCCCTGTCCACGCCGCATTGTGGGCTCGGTAGCTGTGCGAACGCGCAGCCTAATCCGTTTGCCTTAGTCATGCAGGTACTCACCAGGCCTTCAAAGTTCCTTCTGTTTCTCATGCCTGGCTTCATCGGACCGTCAACAATTCCCGCCCCCTTCAACAACGGCACTTCAAACTTAAATCCCGCTACTATCATACCGGATCCAGCAACAGCACTGCCACTGCTAACCTTGACCCTCGATCACACATCATCAAGACAGACATCATCTGCAGCCACGACTACAAAACAAACGCCCCTGTCCGTGCCGCATTGTGGGCTCGGTAGCTGTGCGAACGCGCAGCCTAATCCGTTTGCCTTAGTCATGCAGGTACTCACCAGGCCTTCAAAGTTGTTCTTTCTGTTTCTCATGCCTGGCTTCATCGGATCGTAAACAATTCCCGCCCCCTTCAACAACGGCACTGCAAACTTAAATCCCACTACTATCACACCGGATCCAGCAACAGCACCGCCACTGCTAACCTTGACCCTCGATCACACGTAGACTACCCCATCAAGACAGACATCATCTGCAGCCACGACTACAAAACAAACGCCCCTGTCCACGCCGCATTGTGGGCTCGGTAGCTGTGCGAACGCGCAGCCTAAACCGTTTGCCTTAGTCATGCAGGTACTCACCAGGCCTTCAAAGTTTTTCCTTCTGTTTCTCATGCCTGGCTTCATCGGACCGTCAACTATTCCCGCCCCCTTCAACAACGGCACTTCAAACTTAAATCCCGCTACTATCATACCGGATCCAGCAACAGCACCGCCACTGCTAACCTTGACCCTCGATCACACATCATCAAGACAGACATCATCTGCAGCCACGACTACAAAACAAACGCCCCTGTCCGCGCCGCATTGTGGGCTCGGTAGCTGTGCGAACGCGCAGCCTAATTCGTTTGCCTTAGTCATGCAGGTACTCACCAGGCCTTCAAAGTTGTTCCTTCTGTTTCTCATGCCTGGCTTCATCGGACCGTCAACTATTCCCGCCCCCTTCAACAACGGCACTTCAAACTTAAATCCCGCTACTATCATACCGGATCCAGCAACAGCACCGCCACTGCTAACCTTGACCCTCGATCACACATCATCAAGACAGACATCATCTGCAGCCACGACTACAAAACAAACGCCCCTGTCCGTGCCGCATTGTGGGCTTGGTAGCTGTGCGAACGCGCAGCCTAATCCGTTTGCCTTAGTCATGCAGGTACTCACCAGGCCTTCCAAGTTTTTCCTTCTGTTTCTCATGCCTGGCTTCATCGGACCGTCAACTATTCCCGCCCCCTTCAACAACGGCACTTCAAACTTAAATCCCGCTACTATCATACCGGATCCAGCAACAGCACCGCCACTGCTAACCTTGACCCTCGATCACACATCATCAAGACAGACATCATCTGCAGCCACGACTACAAAACAAACGCCCCTGTCCGTGCCGCATTGTGGGCTTGGTAGCTGTGCGAACGCGCAGCCTAATTCGTTTGCCTTCGTCATGCAGGTCAGTAACAGAAGTGCTTTTCTTGCTGAGAAATCGAGTAATTATTTTTTAGTTCAGCTGCCGAGCCCACGGTGCTGTGTGGTAATTATTATTGAGTGTGCGCAGGCCGTACGCTCTTTTTTGCTTTTGGTGAGGGATGTCGAAACTAACCCTGCGCCTCCCAATGGTGAAGACTTGCTTACTGAATTGCAGAAGCTATTCGCTGAACAGAATAGGCTTATTTCCGACATGCAGGAAATAAAAACCAACTAAAAACGACGGACGTAACGATAACAGATTTTTGCGAACGCATCACTGACCTTGAAAAACATTGCACGGCCCTTTTATTCATGCGCACAGAGCTTGTTGACCCAAAAACACTCACAAACGAAATGGCTACAAGATCTGTAATCTCGAATCCCGTGTAGACGATAGTGAGAGCCATTCGAGAGAAAACACTCTTATATTTTATCGCTTTCCAGATACTGCTAAAACTAAAACGTATTCGAACTCCGAAGAAATAATCGTCCGTCACTGCTGTGACAAACTCCAACTAACAATTCCTCCCTGAGAAATTGAGCGTGCGCACCGCCTCGGGCGCTTCTCAGAAAACCACATTCGACCCATAATTGCAAAGTTTCAATCATCCAAGACAAAAGAACTTTTCTTTCCAACGGCCGCAAATTCAAGGACACAGGCTTCAGCATGGGCGAGGACTTCTCCCCTGCCGTACGTCATGCGCGCAAGCATCTAATTGCTTTTGCGAGAACTAAGTCAACAGCTTTCACTGTGTGCTTCAAAACCCCCTTTCTCGGAACTAAACGCTACGTCTTTGACGAGACATCGCAGTCTGTGAAAGAATTAAAATAGCAGTCATCCCGTCCACGACCAAAGACAACGTCTCCCCAAATTGTCCACAACTCAACTTTTTTCGTTTTCCGTGATATTTACTAACATTAGAAGTATCATTTCGAAGCGCGAACATATTTCAAATCTGGCTTTGTCATCCAACAACGACTTTCTTATATTAACCGGAACATGGTTAAATGACAGCGTCTCTGATCAAGAGGCCTTGGCCGATTTGCCTAATTTATAACTATTTCGAAAAAATCGAAAAGACAAGAAGGGAGGAGGAGTTCTTATTGCCATAAACCAACAAAATATCCTGCTCATTAGTTAACCTGTCATCTGACCTTAAAATAACTTGGATTCTCTGTTCTGCTAAGCCCCAGTCAGTATTACTTG